GTATTATTCTGCTAGAGTCTGATTAAACTTCAGTGGTGCTTTGTAGTTAGTTAATTAAGGGAATCTTTGCTTTAATTAGTGAGATTTTCTTTTCTAGTTTCCACATGTCCAGCTTTATAGAGTTAAAAATGTAGTTATAGCCCATAAACATAATAATCATTGGCTTACATGAAGTACTTGTCCAGCATGGTAGTAGTAGTTACTTAGTTAGATAATTAACATGGCAATAAAATCGGTGATTTAGGTTAATAGTATTCCCAAGCTGAAACCTTGCCTAACAGAGACTCTGATTAAAACCTAAGTCAATGGAAAGACTCTCATTGACTTCAGTAACCTTGGGATCAGGCCATTAACGGTTTCATATAATCATTTTTTTTCTTCTAAAAATATAGGCAACTGGAGACCGGGTAATTGGAAGAACTTTTGCCCTTGTTTTGCTATTCTGGTATTCGGTATCTTGTAATGGCTACAATCCTGCAGTGGACACTGCCTGCATAGGCAAAGTGCTATGATTGCACTGAGCTGCACTGAAGTCAGTAGACTGGGTGCAATGACCCATTTATATGCTATCGACTGCAGGATTGGAGGCAGTGTTAGCGCTCGTATGGGAAATGTGGGAGGCTGGGCAGCTGGCATTCACATGGCCCTGCTGGATTTTAAATTCCAAACTGTACTGTGAAATATTTCAATAAAAAAAAATGTTCATGTGCATGTGTTGTATTTCCCAGTTGGTAAGTGCTAGGAAAACTACAGTAGCCACAGTTTTCTATCCACAGTCACAGGGATTATTCATTTAAAATCAGATACTTTGCACTATGTTGAGGGCTTCTGTTAGCACTTTTCTAACTGCCTAAAATGCAAAGGAAACATTACAAAGTGTTTTAAATATTATGGATGGATTAGATCGCAGTGAATTGGATCATAGCATTTTTATAACCTTACGTGTTACACAGTAGTTGCAACAAAGATTGGAAAATACCATGCCAAGCTCATCAGACTAGCATCTTGTGGAAATGTTTCCATTATTCTGTGGGCTGGATACCTTTTCCAGCCTGAAAGCCTTTTCCATCTTTTGATCATAAAAT